TCAGTCAATTTAGTATTTAATTTAGATAGGGTGGCAATAAATTATTTACCACCCCGGGTGGCACCAAGACGACTCCTAAATATATAAAATAGCAATCTTGCTCACGTGTAAATTTCCCAAAATTTAACCAATCAGATAAATTTTTGTTTATAATCAAATTTTGGGAAATATCGATATGCGACCTTAGTACGTATTGTATTTACAAGAAGATGTGTAAACCGATTTCCATATACCCATATGGAGAATCAGAGAATTTGAACATTCCAATTAGTAAGAATTAAAGAACCGATTGGGGCGGGTCTTGAAAACTTTGGAAATCTTGGAAATCTTGGCGAATTTCCCGTAATATGATGATCTGCCTGTTCCACATCTTTTTGAAAACAGCTATAAATAAAACCCGGTCCATACCCTATTAGGGACGGTACCTTTTTTATCCTATTAGGAACAGTACCGACGATCCATCAAGAATGGTATCTTTCAAATAAAATTTTTCATCGAAATTTTTCATCGAAAATTGGTTAAATGACCTTCAATTGAAGTTACTACAGGTGAGAAAAGGGGTAGAAATATCAATTCCTATTTTTCCACCGCTGGAAAAAAAATTCACTTTCAAGCTACGTGAATATCACTATTTCTGTATTTTAGAAAAAAGGGAATGGGGCAATCAAATGAAAAATTTCTTAAAGAATACTCTTTCCTTATGAAAATAAAGTTACCCTTATCTTTATGGACTTCAAACGTCTTTTAGAAGTTAAATATGTGTTCAAATGCAGTTTTTTATACCTACAAACTATAATAAATGCAAGTGGATTTTGGAATTTAAGATTTTAGGGTTAGGGTGTAGGTTTATAATAGAATAAATTCTATCCGATTTGCTTACGAAATTCCAATCCACTAAAATTCCATTTCCCATTTACATCATATACATATCATATACAATGAATTCATTGAACCATTTTTTGAATAATTTATTTTTGCATATTTACAATTTTGAACAATTAGACCTTACATTTTGAAATGAATACCCTGTCTTTGCTCCGACTCTTCTCTAAAGAATTGGATCCGATAAATTTTATTTGTGCACCTCGTGAAATGTGTGTATTGGAGTAAATATTTAACGTATCGTATGTACGTAAGTACGTACGTAGCTCCAAAAATTCAAAATAAAGTATCGGTATGCATTACGGTTACAATAAAATTGGAACCGCCATCTTCCGTAATTGGTTAAAAATATGATTAAACCTTAAAAATGTTTCAAAATAAATGGATTAATACATATCTGTATTTTCTTGTTGGCCTTGCCTTCCTCTATTCACAAGACTGGTTTTTTTTTTTTTTTTTTAAGAAAAAAAAATATATTTGGCCTTTGACCAGGTAAAAAAAATTTTTTCATCGTTTTTAAAAAAAAATTTACCTATTTTCTTAACAAATACCACTTTAGCCCCTTTACTATTAGAAACATGATAGAAGTATTTTTGATATCGATTATTTATATATTATTTATTTATTAACATTATTTATTAACATTATTGATTATTATTATTTTTAATTGAATTTTAGTCTTAGCATATCATCAAGAAAATTATCAGTCATAATCCACAAAAACCTTATTGTAATCAAACGATGGGTAATCAAAATTCCCGTAATCAAAATTCCCGTTCTCGAAGAATAGAAGGCCGTGGAAAATGTAAATATCCTTATTTACATTGGAAACGTCGATTTAACGATGAAATTTGGTGTAAATGTGATACCAGTCGTTTAACAAAAGGTTGGACCAGTGGTCATCGTGGAATTGATAATTTTATTAAAGAAACTCAGTTAAATGCTAAAGATCGCTTTGATCCTTATCTGGAATGGATTCCTTATGATAGATTAGCTAATATTAAACAAATTGGGGAAGGTGGTTTTAGTGTCGTTTATTCTGCTGATTGGAATGATATGGATAAAAGAGTTTCATGGGGTTCCACGATTAAAAGTAGACCCGTCGCCTTGAAAAGTATTAATGACTCAAAAGAGATGTCGGATGAATATATTAAAGAGGTAATTTTAATATATTATTAAGTTTCAAAATATTATGTTTAAATTGTTGATATTTTAATGTAATTTTTATAGCTTAAAACTCACCATCGTTGTATATCGGCCATTCCTCCTCATGATGGCGAGATTAGATATGACCATGGTTTCCTTCGATTTTTTGGTATCACTCAAGATCCACAAACAAATGATTACATTATGGTTACTGAACTAGCTCCATATAAGGATATTCGTAACTTATTACGTCAAAATTTCACCGATTTAGATTGGTGCGATAAATTATATTGGCTTCGTAATATCGCTGGTAATCTTGTAACAATTCATAATGCTGGCTACACACATCGTGATCTACATCCTGGAAACATTCTAATGGGTCAAATTCAAGATGGTTTAACGGTAGCAAAACTTGCTCACTTAGGATTATCACGACCTGCTAAAAAATCACCACCAATGTCTCCTAAAGAATTTTATGGTGTATTACCTTATGTGGCTCCTGAAATAATTTTGGGTCAGAAATATACAAAGGCTTCAGATATTTATAGTATCGGAATTATAATGGCTGAAATTTCTACGTCCATACCACCTTTTGTCGATAGAGCTCATGATAATAAATTAGCATTGGATATATGTAACGGGTTAAGGCCAACTTTTGCCGAAGGAACACCAAAATCTTATATTGAATTTGCTAAACAATGTACAGATGTTAATCCTGTGGAACGTCCTAGTGCTGAGAAATTATTACAGATGTTTGATCATTGGTGGAAAATTACTCAAGATCCTGAAATTTTGGATGATACATTTAGTGCGGCTGATAAATTCATACCGAGTTTAGACATCTCTTTCACTCCACATCCTGAAGCATCGTATAAAAGTAGATTACTTAAATTTGGTGTTTTCGATTAGGGCGGGAACCCTTTGAGATAAAACAATTGAGATATTAAAATCTCCTCAAAAAAATCCACATATATATATTTAATTTGAACAATATAACAAAGTTTGTCACGAATCTTTTTCCCCGTATGCATATATATGCATGCATGTAATTTAAATACCGCCAATAATTTAACATTTTTTCTAACGTTTATATTTATTATTACACATGCATTTTTCTATTTTTCACATTGGATTTTTTTTTTTTCAAATAAAATTCTTAATTTTATTTATTGATTTTGGGCATTTTGAGATTTGTATATACAATTTTGTTCATATTCATGCTTATTATCATTACTTTTCTAAGAGCTTTCTTGATATAACTTGTACGTAAATTATATATAATTTATCGTGATATGCGACATTGTTAATGGCGAAACTTGTAAATATTTAATTTACATTTGGAAAAAAACAAACCTATTAATAGGATGATGATGGTTTTTGGACTTGTCCAAAAACCTAATTGGACTTTGGGCAGTTTTAGACTAGTCCAAATCAGTCTTGGAATGTCCATCAAAAAAAGGTAATTTTGTTTTTAAGATTGTCCGATCAGATTGTATAATTTAAATCATGCGATTATATATGCCACTTGTCCAAAATGTCCAAAATAAATTTTGGTCTTTGGCCAAGGTTTTGGACAATTTTGTCCAATTGCCAAAACTCGTCCATTTGCATAAATACATCACTGATTTAGGGTGTTACGCGAAAATTTTTCACACTGTGTTTGACAAGGATATTACCTCATTTCCCCGCAGTAAAACCGTTACATTTCTATGACTACATTCAAGAGCCTGATTACTACATTTTTCGTTGATTGTTACTTCATTACCAACCCTTACGCAATACTTTGTCATTCTTCCCATTACTATTAATTTATCTCACGACATTTTCGCTTTATTGCTTGTATGATAAAGAGTGATTTTGCTGACGAGTAAGAGAGAATGCGTATAATATAGAACAATCTTGTAGATAGAATTCTTGCCTGTAAATAAAAACAGTAATAAACTTGTTCGTACAGCATCTCTAATAAAATACTCACCCGCATAATTTATGCTGCGTCCAAAACTAATTTGCTATACACAAACATTACACTCCCAATTTTGGGCGTAACAAGGGTAAGGGTCAGCATTAAGATAGGTTAGAGTATTAGCAAAGAATATTCCTATGCCAAAAATTTGCAAGGAATTTTTTTATTAGAACGTGAAAGATGGTTTTGTAAGCAAAATTATGAGTTACAAGTGATTTTTTAGAAACATCGCTATTTTTTTTTCAATCTGCGTCACGTATAACGCACACACGCCAAATTCTATAACTAAATATAAATTATACATTTTTTTACTAAGTTAATATTACTTGAGCTTCTAATAAAAGTTATAGAGGAGATCTCTTTTTCCAATGGTGCCAAAATCTCTAAAATTAGTTCAGTAGTTCTTGAAAATGTTTTCGCGACTATATAAACTTTATTTGCATAATACTGTAATATAAAGTTTATAGTCGCGAAGATATACTCATATTTATAGATGTTGACATGACATTACATAGTTACGTCCTATATAAAAAATCGGGTTATAAAATAAAATGCAATTGTGTCATAACTAGTAACGTAAGTCTGCATCTATATTCATATCTCTGGATCTAATTTTGGCGATTTTACTATCATTAGAATCTTAGAGATCTCTATAACTTTTATTAGAAGTCCAGGTAATGTTAGTAAAAAAAAAAAAGTTTAGTAAATAATAAACATTACGTGATTAAAACAATACTGCAATATTATTTGCTATTTTTTAATTGCAACCCTCTTTAAATGCACGCTTTAGAGTTGGTCCCCCCGACGACTTACATTTAGAGGGGTCTGACTAGAGATGTGCTGCGTACAGTACTGTACCGTACGTACTGTACGTACTGTGCGCGAAAAATTTTGCGGTCATTTTATGTCGGGGATGATGCTGAAATCGGATGATGCTGAAATTTTGACTTATTTTATTATGAAAATGTAAAATTTTTTTG